TAGCCTTGCGCATGTGCGTTCTTGTTCTTCTGGGGTTATGATAACTCGGGTCAAAAAGTAGAGTCGCTTCCGTTACTGCCTATCGATCACTGTGAAGGAATGTGTGTGCAGTATCGTCTCGTTGTCCAACTAAATTCATTCAACTATTTTGTTTTCTCGGTTGCTAATGCCTCGGTACATTTAACAATAGATGCTTTTAACAATGATGTTAAATTGACCCCAGTTCACTGGCCAAAGTACCCAGGCATATTTCACATGTTTCTATTGTTGTATCAGTACAATAACATGGAAGTCGCACAGATTTCGATTGCGCAAAGTAATGTTTTGATTAGGGATCAACCATTTCGTAAGTGAGGTAGGTCGAGAAGATTTTTGAAAAAAAATGAACAAAATGTTAAGGGAATTGTGATTGGGGAGGAAACTTTCAAGTTGTCACGTAACTGGAAGGAGATCCATCACTACAATAGATAAGTGTTCTTTTCGTGTACGTTGTAGGGATCAATGAAGCACTGCTAACTGTCCCTCTCCCTTCTTCTTGAAAGAATTTGCTATAGCCCAGAAACACTCCTTTTATTAGAACAGTTACCAGACACAACAGATATTAAAAGAAACATACAAATTCAGAATAGCTAAGCAAAGAAAGCTGAGTGATTTCTTTAGTAGGATATTAGACTAAAACTGCTGCTGAACATGAACTTTACTGTACAGATCTTCAAATATTTAATTTTCATACTACTCATTATTGTGCAATGATCGATTTTTGTGAAATGATTTTAGTTTACATAATACAATTTAAAACCAACATTTTTTATTTGTAATAAAGTATTTGGATACAGTGTACAGTGGTGTAATAGTGTGTCAAATGGGGTTGCGAGATCTGTTTAAATACATTGATTCAGTGCCTAATTAATATTCATGAATAAATTAGTGAACATGTATAGAAAGGCCACCTGTCTATAAAGGCCAAAATTTCAAAGTCCCTTGGGTGGCCGCTATAGACAGGTTTGACTCTAGGTCTAGTGCATGTGCTGCACAATCTGTCTCTAAGTTGAAGATTTTACCAGAGCTTTGCTTGAGCCGCGTTTAACACAGTGAGACTTACAAGAAAATAATCCCCACCGGTATTGTTTAGAAGCATATTACTATAAAATATTTTTGCTGGAAGCAATTTTTGCTGAAAAGATATTTTGGGTGATTTGTATAGAATTTATTTACACGTTGAATGTAAAATATAGAAAAAAAGATATATTCGGGGGATTTTATTTTCGTTGAATCATTCCTTCAGCAAAAATAACAAAAATTTATTCCAAGTGAAAATAAAGTATTTTACAAAGTAAAGTAGTCTACCTGAGCCTTTAAGTTTTCATTGAGATAAACTTTGTTGCTATTCAGGTTGCTTTTGGGTCATTTAGATCTGATATATGAAAAAAGTGGTTTGTGTGTATATGTGTGTAAATGAATGAGTTAATTAATTTACCATATATTGAAGATAATATTTGGTAATCGTAGTCCTAAATAACTATTAAAAATAGCTAAATTAATTTATCAGGAGTTATTAAAGTACAATTTCAAGTTGAAATCTCATTGTGACCGCATGTATTTATTTCCTTCAGGGAGATGTTACAATATCACCAGAAACTCTGGGGAAAAAAAATCTAAAAAGTCCTGGTGCAACAATGAAGTCTGAAAAAAAGGGGATGAAACGGAAATCGAGTAGTGCTTCAGCTGAAAATATTGACCAAAGTCGAAAGTTGACGAATTTGAAAGACACTAAGAACAGAAAAAATAAAACTCCAAGGCAGGACAAAATGAAGGTGATACCTAGTAAGAAAAGTCCCCTAATAAAGACACCCGAGCGGGATGGTGAGGAGGACGATTCAATGGTGATTACCTTTCCAAAACTGGAGTCTTTGACTCCGAAAATCAGTACAGATCTCGCAGATCCAATGAGTTCTACTTCTAAATCAAAGAAAAGGAAAGCAAAAAAAAATGATAAGTCATTACCAGAAACACCTAAAGTCACACAAAAGAAGCAAAAAACTGCTCAGAAGAATGCAGTCAATGAGACTAAAGAGAAAACCAGGAAACAAATTGAGTTGAGTTCTATTATACCTGGAAACGTCACGGTAGAAGAGGGCACGCCAGATAACATACTTGAGAGTCGTCTTGGTAACCAACAGAAAGAAAGCAATACAATGGGGACATTGACAGAGGAAAATAAAATTCCAAACAGAAAAAATGGAAAGAGACAGCTGACAACAGAGGAGAATGTGCAAGATAAAACTGCATTATCTGTCAAGAAACAAAAACTTGGTATGTAATTTGTTGGCTTACTCTGTTCAACATTCACTATTATCCTTGTATTATGTACAACAAACTATTGGGGGGGGGGGTCTACAAAAAAGGTATTTTTTAATCCTTTTGATGCCAAATTTTGGTCACTATCATATGATGTATGTGTGGGTGTTCTGTAATTGTTGAATTTTGCAGAGGGTACTGTAAAACATATTGAAAAAGCGACATGCAATTTTAGCGAATTGTGGTAAAATGACGTAATAGCTAAATGTCGATTTAGCGAATCTCTCTTGTAGTTGTTGATTTTCTGTTTTCAAAATACTTGTCTGCCACGCACCAAAACAAATGCGCAGTTATCACCTCCATAAAAACAAAGAAAAATTGTCAAGTGTAATTAGATTCTGTTCGCAATGATAAAAAACTGATTCAACAGGGATTTGAAAAAGCAGGCATCATTGCCGGCTGCGTTACATTCAGAACATTGACCTTTTATATTGGGACTCAAAAATTACTAAGTACTACTAATTTCCGTAATAATATATCAGTATCACTTCATTTATTTATTTTCATTGAAATAATGACCACAATGAATATGTTTTTTTATTCTTCGTGTATCTATCATGTCGGTACGCTTTTTTGTGTTGTTTACAAAGTGTGTGTGGCGAAAAAAGACATTGTTTGGTGGCCATTTTGAATTTATAATAAAGTCATTAGTGACATCTTGAATTAGCGAAACAGTTCTTTCACTAAAAAGACGTGCTTGCGAAAAAGACATGTTTTACACTACTGTAGAATACTTTATTTTCGCTTGGAATTTATTTTCGCTATTTTCGCTGAAGGGATGATTCCGTGAAAATAAAATCCAGCGAATATACTTTTTTTCCTATATTTCCCATTAAACACATCAAAAATCAGTGAAAATAAATTCCGTACAAAATGCCCAAAAAGCCTTTTCAGCGAAAATTAATTCCAGCGAAAATAAAGTATTCCACAGTATTTAATTTGGGGAGCGGGGTTAAGGTGATACTGATTTGCACCACTGTTGTATTATCAGTAAAATAGCTGGAATTATCTCAGTACTGCAGGTCACAAAGACTAGAACAAGTTCATTAACCTTGATACATTTTTGTGTCAATTCTTGTTTATAGACACAAAGTACAGAGTATTCTGCGGAAATTTACCGCCTGGTACAACAGAGGAGATCTTGGAATTCTTCTTCGGAGAATGTAATATCTACCCACAGTTCAGTCATTATGACTCAAGAGGGCAGAGACAACATAATGCTCGTTGGAGGAGAAAGATACACGGGTAAGAGTACTGGCAGCGCCCTCTAGTGTTGGAACTGGTAAATGAAATAACTGGGTGAATGAGATCATATCTGCATTTAGAATTTTAAAGCAAATTCCATCATTTAGAATTGAACAAATTGTTTTCACGCTGGGAGATTATTTTATTATAATCTATTAGCAATAATAAAAAAACAGAGAAAATGATATGTTTATATTGCACAGTTAAATAAAAACTAAAACATGACCTTTTTAGATATAAAAATAAACATTAGATATGATTGGAAATCTTAAATCTTAAAAAATAAAACATATTAGTGGTATACAATGCATACAAATATTGGTTTACCTGAACTTTTATTAAAAATGTGCTTCTAATAGAGAAAATATGGTATTTGAAATTTACAATATAATAATCTTTCGATCAGCTCATCAAAAGTTATCTTGAATCCAAAATAGTTTTTTCTGTTTTCATGTATTTTTCTATTTTTTGTATAACTTTGGATCAGATGTTAGTAATTTCTTATTCCCTATAAGCCTTAGAAAAATTATTTGAAAATTAATGTACTGGACCGCGTTAGCATCCATGTTCGGTCAAACACCCACCCCCATTTTTGTGCTATTTTTAAATTTGGGATCACATTCTGCAAAGCACCCATCCCTTCAAAATGCCACTGATTTAAAATATGGTATTTGATCATTGCTTAACGAATACTGGTAATCTATTTTTTATTATACAGCGTGGATATCGACATCTAGAATATGTTGAGAATGTGTTAACCATGAATAAACTATGCTTCGATAATGACCTGTTAATAAAAGTGATATGTGGTAAATGTTTCATGCCATATTCAGTTTACCTATACCTATTTTTGAAAAAAACATTTCGTTTATCAGCCGAAATCAATTCCAAAAGATCGTACTCCGACAGCGACAATTCACTTTCGCATTGCGTTACCAGAAAGTTTTCGGGAATTTCTGAAGAATTGTGTTGGTACAACACAGCATTCTGATTTGTTGATAACAGAATTGACCAATTAGGTCAAAATGCGCTACTGCAGGTCAAATCATGCAAATACATCATAGTGGAAAGCGCTTTTCATCAAGAGTTTGCGTAAGATCCAACAAATTCATCAGAGGAGATAATGATGAAGATTTTGACTTTGACACAACAGACTCTTAATATTTTTAATCTCGTAAATTTGGGTGGTACGTAATTAATATTGTAAGAAAGTGTGCATATTTTTGTGATCGTTTCTGCTTCTTCATTGTAAAAGTCGATGACAACGCAACTAATTTTTTCTCAAAGACATAATATCCCCCTCAATGTGTCTCACATGATTAATTATCATGTGCACCCTTTTCCGAAGGGGATGCTGGGGTAAACGCCCACCCCTAAAAAAAAAATCATGATTTTCGGAGTTGAGGACCTTGGGTGCTAACGCGATACAGTACGGTATGTGGCTTTAAAATTTGTGAATGATGACAAAGGTTGACTTTTGTCATCGTTTTGTTGATTCTGGACCAAATAATACCATATAATACTTTGCCAAAATTAATTTTGTGATTCTGAATGAGCATATCCATGGTAATATCACATGGTATGTATTTATGTTGGAAAAATTGATTTTTGTTTGAAATATTCATTTTCCAGCTGTTTTGGTGTTGCTTGCGTATTAATGGAATAAACATTTTACCTTGTGTTTATTTGATACCCACACAGACAGTGCATAGCTACTTACAAGACTGTGCATGATTACTCAACCCAAACACCTAACAGACCAATCAGAGAGCAGCTTGTTTGTTGGCAGGTTTTTTTCGACCTATCAAATTCTGCCTTACATGTATATATGCTTTGACTTAACTGCCCAATGAGGTGATTTGGCTCACCATTATTATAATTGAAAATATGTTACAAATATGTTACCTTGTTTTAAATTTGTTTATTTTTTTAAGATCTGTCATCTTGACTTGCGATACTTTGAAAGAAGCTGAAGAGTTGATAAAGCTGAATGGAACATTGATGCCATCACCGTTGAATGGCCAATTAGAAGTCCCGTTAACAATCTATCATAAACCAGATACTGTATTTGGTAGGGCTTCTCTCATTAGTTTTTCTCTCATCTGTCTTACAACCTCCCCAATGGGATACACAATCTAAGGATGTCCATATGAAATATAAAAACAGGGGCATGCATTGTGTAGTATCAGGTCTGTGCATCTGTCCATATCAAACTTGTCTGCATTTAATTTTAGCTCTTGTTGATAGTTAAAATGTGCTTATGTATCTGTCTGTTCTTCCGTCTACTTTCTGTTTGTCCGTCCGTCTGTCCTTCTGTATGTCTTTCTGTGAACATGCATTCATTTTCCAGAATGTATGTGGCTACTACAAATTCTTGATGTTTGCTATCTGTCTGTCCTTCCATCCATCCATCCTTCTGTTTGTTTGTCTGTCCTTCCGTCCGTCCGTCTTTCTGTGGACATGCATTCTTTTTCAAAGATGTATGTGGTTTTTTGTTAAATGAAATACTCCATCGAATAAATGACAAAAAGCAAATAAAACTCTTGTGTTTATGATTTAGAATCCATGGTAACAATTATTTTACAACTTCTTTATTGCATTAAATACTTGGTATCCATTTTACATATAAAAAATGGCAAATTGCAGTTAAAAAAACAAGTTTTGAATATTTTTTCTTTCAAATTTACAACAGTCAATCATACATGTAGAAATGTGAAGATTTGTAATATTCCCAAAAGTGTATTACCATGAGCATGATTGAACTTAAAAATGAGTATTTCTAAAAAGAAACATTAGATCTCTATTTATTCATTTAGGTATTTGTAATTTGTGTTAATTTATTCAATTGTTTGAATGTTTTTTTTATCTAGACGATTGCAAGATGTTTATTGGTAAACTTGGAGCAAAAGTGAACGAAAAAGATATCACTATGTTCTTTGAAAGTCATGATATTCATCCAGAAAAAGTTTTGGTTATTAAAAATGATATGCATGTTACAAAGAGAAAAAAAAAGTACCGGTAAGTCTATATTATGAGGTTATTACGAGGATACCGTAAATTATGCACAAAGACAGTACAGAGGGAGTATCGACCGAAGGGCATTCATGTGGGGTCCGGTCAAATGGAATTTGCGTTCCTTAATATGGTAGCATGAAAATACCCAGTGCAGTACCGCAAAATTACTTATGACGTTACAGTGATAGATGTATAATAAGTACTGTTATTTCCTAATATTTTGCTTTGTTCAGCCGGGTTAAAATACCGGGGTAAGAGTCAGTTACCGATTCGATAGTTAAAGTCAGTCTAGGAGACCAAGTATAGTACTATTGACGTATCATTTCATGTATTTATGTACAGATTTGGATTTGTTTGGCTAGCGAACTGTGAAGACGTTGAGAAAGCTGTCAAATTAAGTGGCTCAGAAATCAGAAAGAAGCCAGTTCTAATAGATGTTGCCCGCAACAGAGACAAGAAGATTAAGACGAATTAATGGACAAACATAATTATGTATAATAAATTGGTCAAAATAAAAATTTGTCTTGAAAAACTTCTTGATTTTATGAAACTGAAGAATGTTGTATGGAAGAATGAATTGAATTTCATTTGTCATATATATGTTTTGTCATGAATTTCTAACTCTTGTAAAAGCATTCTCGCTGTGTTGTTATTTTGCTTCTTTCTCTGATAAGTTAAGGTACAGATGCAGGTTCATGGGCAGGTTCATAGATAGTGTTAAAATTTTGAAGCTTTGTTAATGTTGGGACATACTCTTAAAATTATTTTAAATTATAGGGAACCAAGGCATGTGTATGTGGGTAAAAATCCTGAAAGTTTGTTTGCGTTGCTCTTTGATGTTGTATGCAAATGAGATGCTGGCCTGGGTTACAGAATAGCAGTGTCCGACTTCCTGTCCTGGCTGCCTGTTTACTTACCACAAGTGCAATCAACTAGCATGCAAGCAGAATGAAACAAAACATACAGTTGTAAATGATAAGTAAACTTTTCATGTAGGAGGAAGCTCTGATAGGGCGATTTTTATTTTTGTGCAAAACATGGCCACAATTTCTTTGGTTTTCTTGGTGCATAAATTTCAAGCTTTTTCGCTTTGTCGGCAAAAACTAAAAAAAAATTTCCACACATTCAGGCATTTTAACATTAAAGTAAACATTTTTTGTTTCGCTGTAACGATCGCCATGCTGATAGAATGCGATGCAATGGACAAACAACACTGCCGTTGCTTTCATCGATAACTAACTTTTCAGTGTCAAAATACACAGAACGTAAAATGCTTGGTTAATCAAAATTAAAAAAATACCCCAGAAATTACAAAAAAATCGGCAACGAGGTGCTGTTTTTAAAATACTGTAGTAAAATCCTGCACTCTGCGATGCCATCTTGGTTACCTTAATCGATACTGCATACTGTAGACCGAATCAGATTTTCTATTTCCATAAAAATGTTGTTTGCAGGACACACAACAATATTCATTTGTGTTGAAGGAAAAATCAAAGCCAAAGGGATTGTTATTGTATGTATTAAAACAACCAGTGCACAGAAAATGTCATTGGTATTAAAAATTGTCATTGTTTATCGTACGAATACTCGGATGGGTGCTACATGAACAGTGTTCTTTTGTCATTATATATCATAGTGAAATGTATTTATTAACATACAGTATCAAACTACTTCATCGAGCAAATACTCTGATGTGAGCTGGAAGAAGGCGTTTTGAGTCCGTATTAAATCATAGTTTTTCGTGTATATTGCATCTTTAAATACCAGTAGATTTCAATGCATATACAAATCAATGTAAACATAACCACCAAATCAAAGTAAACATAACCCCAAAATCAGGGTTTTTTCTAGAAAAAAACTGCAAAAGCGCCACTAAGTGGGGGAGATAGGGCTCGCCCAACCAGGGTGTGGAGTTTTTGATTCTTCTAAGTTAAAATGAAACATTCTATGGCTACCTTGGGGCAAAAATTGCTATCAGACATATCACAGTTGACTGTGGTCCCTGGTCAATCAGAATTTTATGGTTGCCAGAGGATCTGCTTCCAGGGTCTGCTTCCCTGTTCCCTTGTTTAAAAAAATCCCTGCCAAAATCAATGTAAATATAACCCCTAAATCAATGTAAACATAACCCCTAAATTAATGTAAACATAACCCCTAAATTAATGTAAACATGACCCCTAAATTAATGTAAACATGACCCCTAAATTAATGTAAACATAACCCCTAAATCAATGTAAACATAACCCCTAAATTAATGTAAACATGACCCCTAAATTAATGTAAACATAATCCCTAAATTAATGTAAACATAACCCCTAAATTAATGTAAACATAACCCCTAAATCAATGTAATCATAACCCCTAAATTAATGTAAATATAACACCTAAATTAATGTAAATATAACCCCTAAATTAATGTAAACATGACCCCTAAATTAATGTGAACATAACCCCAAATCAATGTAAACATTACCTCCAAATCAATGTAAACATAGCCCCTAATTCAGTGTAAACGTATCCCCTAAATTAATGTAAACATAACCCCTAAATCAATGTAAACATAACCCCCTAAATCAATGTAAACACAACCCCAAATCAATGTAAACATAACCCTCAAATCAATGTAAGCATAGCCCCTAAATCAATGTAAACATAACCCCAAGTCAATGTAAACATAACAACGAATAGTGTCAATCTGCTGGACAACTGAATATTTAATTTTCTGATGGAATTTGTCATGAATCTACAGGATTAATGGCTCCTGTGTACTCTGTATATAGGAATTGTGAAGAACATATTCAAGGCCTGTAGATCTGAGTGCACCCAATTTTAATGCCAAATTCTTAAAAATGTTTTGATTGATTGAAATGATGTAGAAAATATTTCTATTATTTTGAAGGCAACAACGGTAGGTATGGCCTCTTTGTATTGCATTGCATGCGCTGACTATTTAACATTAAACTCTTGTCTGAGTTTTCTCATGATTTTGAACCTTGAATTTGTAGAATAATACGATGGTGAAGGGGGGGGGTCCCTTACAATAGAATAGATCAAAAAAAGAGACTTGGTGAATGAATATTTTTGGAGAAAAAACAACAATACTTTATTGAAAACCCAAACTGATTTGTATTTTAAAAACGTACATTAAATTGAAGATTCTACGTCATAATTTGAATTCAATTTTGAAAGTACAGAGTTGAACTCCCAAACTAATTTGAATTTCAAAACATCAAATTGAAATTCCACCACATGAATTGAATTAACAAATTTTGAAAGTGCAGAATTGAAAAACCAAACTTTTGAATTTCAAAACATGCATCAAATTGAAGATTCTACCTCGTAATTTGAATTCAATTTTAAAAGTACACAGTTGAACTTCCAAACTAATTTGAATTTCAAAACATTCATTGATTGGAATTCCACAGCGTAATTTGAATTCAACAAATTTTGAAAGTAAATATTGAAAAACCAAACTGATTTGAATTTCACCTCATAATTCAATTATGAAATTACAGAATTGAACTTCTAATATAATTTGAATTGCAAAACGTGCATAAATTTAAGTTCGTAATTCGGATTCAGTAAATTTTGAAAGTACTAAATTGAAAAACCAAACTGATTTGAATTTCGAAACATACATTAAATTGAAGATTCCATCTCATATTTTGAACTTGATACAATACTGAAAGTGGCACTACAGTTTTGTTTGGGTAGACCTTCATTGGCAGTTTAATCCAAATTCAAACTGTGCACCACTGAGCATGTTACTGTATATATATGCAATGCATTGTGGGAGTGAACTTCCATTGTATTTAATGAAAAACTATTATTGTACTGAAAACTGTCTACTAAATGTAAATATTTTGAAATCTTTTAGAAATAATCCGATTCAGATAAAATTTTGAAGGTATAGAAAGTGACACTGCTACAGGTATAAAAAAAGTTTTGTTTTGATATGCCGCTGGGGCAGTTTCAGCCAAATTCGTTAAAATTTTGCACCACTGAGCATACTTACTGCACATATATGCAATGCATTATGGGAGAGAAATTCCCAGTATAATAAATGAAAAACTATTATTGTACTGAAAACTGAATCCACTAAATATAAATATTTTGAAATCTTTTAACAAAATTCAGATTAAATTTTGAAGGTACACTACTATGCAGTTTTGTTTGGATAGACCTCTCAGGCAGTTTGAGGCAAATTAATTTTCTCCTACTGAGCATTATCGGAGAGAAGTTCCCATTATATACAATATGAGGTTATTACAAGGATATCTCAAAGTATGCACGAAGACAGTACAGTTGGAGTATTGACTGAGGCGCAGCGGAGATCGATGCGCGGCGTACTGTCTGAGTGCATACTTTGAGGTATCCTCCTAATAATCTTATTATACATGTTTTGCCTTCCAAGGATACACCATGTGAATGCCAAAATCAAAAATGTTTAGAACAGAATCAGCGAAATTCTTTGTGTGGACTCCGGTCAAACTCTGGTGGCAGCCATGTTTGTTTTTATTATCAGAGAACGCTTACGCGCGTAATCATTCCATATTTGGAATCCGTATTTCCTAATATGGTAGGATGAAAATATGCCATAAAATACCGCAAAATTGCCCTGTCTCATCTTTAAGTTTGCGTAATTTAATGTGGTTTTCCCAATGCAGCCAGAAACCAGTTTATGTTGTTTGACCAGAATGTTATATCATTTGACACTCTGTCTGAAACCCCTAATTCTTAATGCATGTGTAGGGTAATCCATATTTACGTTTCCGTCTGAAATAAAACACGTGCCATGATCAGCACTGACTTATGATTTGCCATGACAACGATGTATTGCCCATACTTATTGCACATGTGCAGTCATCGTCTTGTCGCGTCATTTTTGATATTGGTCACACTGATATATACAATATGTGTAAAATACAATGCTTGCTCCATGAGATTTTAAAATTCACTGTGTGCTGGCCACCACCCCTTTCGAAACAACATTGCACGTGCAGTGATTTGTTTATAACCTCCTGAAAGTCGCATATCCTGGGACTTTCTGGGTGTTGCCTTCGTTTAACAGCAATAATTTCCAATAAAACATAGCTCAATTTTTGTCATGTTTAACTGTTTATGAGCTTAAATAACAAATATGTGCATTTTGTTAGTGAGTTTGTTCCCAAGGATGTGTGACCTTTTTGGAGTCGTGCAAACGGTCGATTACGCGTGTGCGAGATGTGGGTCTTATATGAACAAGGATGGCGATTGTGATTGTTGCACAGATGTCACATATCAGTCAAACGAAAACTGGGCAGGCTCGTGGCTCCTCGCATCTCCCAATGGGATAATCAATGCAAATTTATCAACGCAAAAATCTTACATGCGCGGCGCGACGATCACTGCCCTTTAAGATAATTGTTATAAATTCAAATCACCAACTAAAATAATAAAATCGTGCTACATACTTCACAAATATGAGATAAATTTTTAAAATCTTGTGATCTTAAAATATTAATGGCTATTATTGATATCAAATTTTATGCAAATGCAGGTTAGTTAATTAGTAATATACAAAAAGTTTATATTATTTATGCAAATTAAGTTGAATAGTTTTGCAATTATGAAAAATATTTAATAGTTATAAGATAAACAGTTATGCAAATAATAATGGGAATAACAGAAATAGATATGCACTAATAAATATGAGAATAACAAAATATATCATCATTTTTCTATTGTTTTTATCTGTGACATCTTTTCTGCCATTGCGACGACTCTGCTGTAAGTATTACAACTTGAGTATAAGAAATGTATGCAAAAAATTACTAGTTATGAAATTAGGAGTACTTATGAATAATGACTAATTATGCAAATAGCATGAATATCTATGCAAATAATGAATAATGATGCCAATAATAAGAATAATCATTTGAACAAATGTGAAATGTGCGTTTTCTGTTAATTTATCTGCGATATTTTTTGACCGATTGAGACAACTTTGCAGTATTTATTTCAACTTAAGTATATGAAATGTATGTAAGTTTTATTAACTCAAAATTCGGAGATACAGTCATGTACGTCACTTCCTGCCGAACCACGATTCATATTTGCTCAAATCAATGTTATCAATGTCATTAACATTGTTACTGGCCTGAATGCCTAGCACTATATTAACTATTAATATTTCCAATGAAAATATAACAAAACAAAAACGATCAAAAGTTTTTGCCACATGTTTCCAATCACGGGATACACGTGATTTGTGTGCTTCAGCTTTCATTTGCCTGTGCATCATGTCTCTGATGTCGTTAACCGCGTTTTCTATGTCTAAAACGGTGGCGCTTGACTCTATGTCTGAAGCCTGTGTTGCCTTTGATTTTCTCAGTACCATGTTCTCGTTGCTATCATCGTTTTGAATTACCGTTACAATACTGCCGGACCGATGTGAAGTGTGCATGTTATCCACGAAACAGATCTTGCGCAATAAATGTGGTACCTAAACATGAAGACATATAATATTCATTTTTTTAGATATGTGCGCAATCTTTATTTCAACAAGATGAACAATACCAAGTAAAATGTTGATGATGATGAGTGGGCATAACAGGAAACTATTTTGAATGTTCTAAAATTGTGTACATTACACACTACACACATCATACACAGATTACAGACGGACGACGGACAGACATACTTGCATAAAGGCATATCTCACCTCTCGTTTGCCGCTTGAATCCATATGAGTCAAGATAAGTGAGATGATATTTGCCAGTGTCCCCAACGATAGAAATAACAACATAGTTATGTAGTAATGGGCTAAAAAGAATAAAAAACAAGTTGTATTGTAATACATATATATGACACAGACGTGTGAGTCATGATTTTTCTTGTGCTCGTACTATGTATTTTAAATTTTATTTTATTTTAAAATTTGTCAAAATAGGAAGTTTTTTAGGTAATGAAGCGCTATTTTGTTAATAAAAATAAAATTGTAATATGTAATGGAATCATTGATAAAAATATGTAAATCTTGCAAAACTGAATTTGTTTGATATTGTTCATTATTTTTATTTTTCACTCATTGTCCTTTCAATATAAAGTACATTTCATGCAAAAATAAATAAAACAACACCAATATAATTTGAAAAGAAGTTGAAAGAAGTATATGAAAAAAAAACTACAATACATATAACTGTCACTGTCAATCTTGAAAGTGAAAAAAAAACTTACTGAGCATGATAGGAGAGTCTGAGGTTGCAGGGAGAATTTTAATAATAGACTGTAAGTATACAACGCCGGTTAAAAAGAGAGTGACACCCATGCTGATCTTTTGAACGCCGTACTGGTATGGTATAATGAAACTGAGTAACATCAACACCGATATAAGAACGCACGGGAACATGTAACTTGTTATGTACATGCTGCTTTTACGGTCGATGACGATGGTAAGTTGTAGCAATGAGTACGCGCGTCCTGTAATAGACATAGAGAAACAGTTGTAAATAACCGAATTTTGATGGATGGTTTAAGAGCGGTGGTCTCCGCGCCACGCATGCACGAGATATGGGACTTGTATGAAAAAAGATGGTGACTTTGACTTTTGCGCAGAACAACGAGTACAAACTGAGATGTTATTATTAAGCTTTAACTATATAATTTCTTTGGTGATTGGAAGGTATCGAAGGAGTCATCGGCGGTAATTCGTGGTTGTTGCGCCCAGGTCAAAACACGTACGCGTGATTTCCATTAGAAGGGCGCATTGGATTGTGAGAAAATCAACGTCTAACAACAGAAATGTCGCGCATGCGCGGCGCGACGACCACCGTCCTTTAACCATCACATAAATGAACTTATACAGCACTTTCAATAGAAAATTCACAACCCCCGGGAAAAATTGTTAAATTATGAAAATATAATTTCTTTCACACTTATTAGTCATGTTGTTTTCAAGTTTACAATTTTATCTCCCATATCATTAGTGAGTGGACTGTTTCAGTGTTGGTGATGATGAGAGAGATCACAGTTCCTCTATCTCTCTATGATAGAGGGATGTAGACAAATGCATAAAAACACTAGCCGTAATATCTATGCGTGTTATGTGAAGGTTTTTCAATCACACGTAACCGAACCATTCAGCAAAGTGAATGGTGACGTTGCAAACTAGCCAGGCAATTAGCTCACTGAATGACTGACCAGAGGTATTCAGAGATGTTGCGCCCTCACCGACGAACTTTGAGTAACTGAGCGGCGTGTGATAGCATTGTATTGTATTTCATTCATCACGACGCATGCGCATATCATAATTTCACGTATCTACGTATAGTTAGCAGGCGCGTTTACCGTCCTTTCCAGAATGCGTGATTGATCGCACTTGGCTGTTCTGCAGTGTCCACTCCCCGATAGGTTTGAATTCAGACGAGTTTAAACGGTCGTGTCTAGATACGATGCTCAATTGATTGACGTCGTATATCCAGGAACCGAACTGTAAATTACAGACCTGGCAATAAAAATACGCATGTCACGTGATGAGAAGAGGCAATCAAATCTACTCTGGGAGGAAATTAAATGCTGATACAAAAAATATACAATACTTTGTGCATATTAATCAGATGCCAATTTTATCGTTCTGATCTTGAAATGCCATACATGTTTTTCGTTTCTTCTATGGGTATAAGAGCCCCCGTTATAAAAAGCGTATCGAACATGACTGTGAAACAAAAAGCGAATTATTTAGGAAATTTTAAATTCTACCAGTCCTCCTTCATCATTGGCACCAGCCATGCATCACATATTGCTTGGTTGCTATGGCAATGACAGATGTTAACATTTATACTGTTTTAGAAAATCTAATAATAACCGTCATATACATGTAATACAATTACTTACCTGGGAGTCGATAGGAAAGTACCGTACGTCGACACGGCACGCCGTCTCTGTATACAGTGGACGCCACGCCATAGTAACTCTCCCGTCCGACTCGACAGAAACAAATACATTAGCAGCGTCATTGTCTACACTGTCGTCAACGCTACGTGATAGAAATAACACAGAAAATGAGTGAACAGAGAGATAAATAAAATAAAATAACAATTCTACTTCATACTGCATGTTTAGTAATGGTTCGCTTTTCGACGGACCGGGTGATATTATATATTACGGAACTTGACAAAATACTACGAGTTGCGCCAACTACTGTCAATGACTGTAGTGAATGTGTGACCGTCGCTTGAGGGCGCAATTTATTGATGATGATACGTACTCGTTGTATTGCTTTATATCAGGGATCCATATTTCACTGCTTGGTAAAACGATTCTTTCAACATTTCCATACAAAGATGAATCCCACGTCAAATACTCATCTTTCCAGAACTGTGGGAGATACGAAAATAAAAATAATCAATTTCTTTGATAGAGAACGGATGAAACACAACCATAGTTTGCAGGAAAGGCATTGTCCCACTCGTGAATAACCAGACTTCAATTTCTTCAGCGGTATTTGTTATCATACCACGGACGCTCGCTAGACGCACGAGACAAATTCACAGTTTAGCGTCGAAAAGTCCCAACTCTAGGATAAACTTGTTGTGCAATTTTTTACTTAGCATACATGAATCGACTTTTGTTGACAACACTTATCTTAAGGTAGCGAGAAGGGTTTTGTGACGTTTTTAAATAAAACATTCTCTGTCTGTTGTCTCGTTCAGAACAGTAATTTAGGTTATATATATCAAAAGACTAAGTATAGAGGTACAAGTTCGCACAAACTGGACAGTCATTGTTTACATAATTATCACGTGACATCAAAAATGGCGAACCTTGTAAAAATGACTAAGTACGCGATTGCGAGAGCACACTGCGGAATTTCCTGGTGAAATTTACGTCATGCATTGTCCGTAATCAAGCCCATTGAAATGCGTCTCCGATATCAAAGAGCTATTATTCCGATTTCTATTCAGTTTGTTTTTT